CTCAAATGGAATAATGTGAAGGAAAAGACTGTGGGCCACATTTGAAGACAGTTTGAGCCCACGGCGTGAGTCAGTGGCATTGTTTGTTCCAGCAAAGAAGCAGCACTTTGTAAGCCTGATGAGACCCATTCCCAGGCCTTGGCTATCTGCAGAACCTAAGTGCCCCCATTAGTCCTTAGAAGGAAACCTAGTGACCATCAACTCCACCCTCACGTTATAGATGAGGAAATTAAGGGACTCCAGAAAAGTCTTGTGACTTGCCAAGTTGTGGTTTTATCCACCACCCATGTAAGTTCTAAACTCCTCAGCCTGGCTTACAAGGTCCTGTAGGGCCTGACCTCATCGATGCCCATACCTCCCTCACCTTTACTTAGCATGACTTAATGACATTGTTCTGCTGGAGAACCAGGTACTATGTCTGTATGCTGGACTCCAGTGAGCCCCACTCTCCCACCACTGGGCCTTGGCATATGCTCTCCCATCTCCTCCAAGCACTGCACCCACCTCCACACCCATGATGCTTGCTCTCCTTGGCTGATGTCTCATCCTTCAGGTTCTCAGCTTTAGTAATGTTTCATCCACGGACTCCCCCAGCAATCAGTGTTTCATGTTTCTACCCTCCATTCCCTTTACACCCAGGACTTAATCATGCCTTTTATTTCACTTCACTGTAAAGTTGGTTTCATTTTCTGTCTGCTTTAGATTGTCCTGGGCAGGGCCATGTTTGTGTTGCTCACCATCATATTTCCAGAACATAGCTCAGTGCCTGGAATATAATAGATGTTCAAAAAGATATCCAGATGGATGGATGGATGGATGACAGGCAAGAAGGGAGGGAGAAATGAACTGACACTGCATCACTAGATTAGAAGAAAACAGTCCTATGACGGTCTCAGGGGTTGGTCCTCGTGTCTGCTGAGTTATACAGAAATCCAGATCCAACTTAGACTTACTGAGGGCCTGCTCTTTAGCCTCTGTACTCCCCAGTTTCACCTACAAGATCCCATTTTAGCCATACAACAATCTAATGAGGCAGAAATTTTTACCCACTCTTTGTAGGTACGGAAACTGGGGCCCAGAGAAGGTGTGGACGGCAGGCTAGTGGTCTTCCCACTTTCCCCTTCAGGGCCAACCCCACCCCAGAGGGCCCCAGGCTGTGCTCGTCAACATAGCCCGGGCTTTTGCTCTCCCACTTAGTGAAATTACATTCATCATAAAGTGCTACTCTGGGTGGTGGTGTTTTGGCTTCTCTTGCTCCTCGAGCTGGCCAGTGTTATTTCTGGCTGATTTATATTTTCCCTTATGTAAGTAAAGAGGGCAGAATGGCTCCAATAAAATTTCCTATGTGTTTCCAGCAAAGGGGTAGCACAGTTGACATATCAAAGTAACTGGGAGCGAGGATAGTCATCTTGTTCACAGAGCCCTCTGCGCACTCCCGCCCCCACCCTTCACCACCCGTCTCCTGACACAATTTCTCTGAGATGGGGAGACGTCTTTCCAGCCACACCTTCCTGGTAAAAAAAGCACCTCAGCCAACTAACACCAGCTAGGGAACAGTTGACGGCAATTACCGGAATATTAGCAACACCAAGTTCTCTTTAAATAGCATTTTTTTCCTGACAGAAGCCAAGACATTTGAAATCGGGCTTAACATTCCATCCATAATTATGCTCACTAATTTTTCCTAAAAAATTCCCAAAGTGAAATGAGTGAGGGTGAAATTGCTGCTCAGCTTAGTATTAGCTTTTTTTTTTTTTAATATATAGCTGGTGTCACAGCTGTACCATTTTCTCCCCTCATGCACATATAGTCAGATAGTCGGACATGCTTAATGGCTGTTCTGAGGAGAGACTGTGACTTGGCAAACTGGCTGTTGTTTCTGCTTCACACTGTGGGACAAGCGAACAGTGATAAGTGTGTCTTTGGGGAACAGGTCGGCTTTCTGCAACATCTTAATCCCGAGAGGGCAGTGTCTTTATGCTCATCCTCGTCTGTGTCCTCCGCTGCAGAGAAGCCCCCAAATCCACACATTCTGGATGTCTCTTGCATGGTTCATGACTGTTTTAGGTGTGCAGTATTCAAAACTCCATGGTTACAAAGGAATCTAATTAGAAGACATTTATTGTCTTTATACAGAAATCTGCCATAATAATCCTTTAAATAATAGGCTTAAAAATACAATTTGTATTTCTGGTACTTTAAAAATATGACTTGATATGCAGACATTTTATTTATTTATAACTATTCGGGAACATTCCCATTACATAAAGTGAGGGGAGCTCCGTTTTGACATGTAGATTTATTTCTGCCTCCTTTAGGAATGTGTTCCATTTTATACTGTGAAAAAGACAGTGCTTGGAACCTACCTCTTTTCCACTGTTCTCTGCAGCCATTTTTTTAAAAAATGAATGTTGTACATATTTTTGAAATGGGAAGAATTATCTTGCTGAGTTCCCACTGTATCAAATGGCATTCAGAGATCAGAGAGGGGTTGACTTCCATACCTCTCCCCTGGCTTTCCTCTGCATGAGTACCAGGTTCTCTTTGAAAGTGTGAGCCTCCCTGAACTCAGAGAGCTCAACAGGCTCAAGGAGTTTAACGCTGCAGGACTTGGGAGGTGGGGTCTTAAATGCAGACGCCTCTGTTTCTGAGGAGAGCCTCTCCTTGTCTCTGGCACAACCAGGATGACCTTGGTCCTAAAGAAGATGGTGACCCTGGTAGCCCCTTGGGGATCATCTCTGGCAATACCTTCCACACTTAGACTTGCATGACAGTCACTGAGGGTTTGCTGAAATGGTTTCCTGGGCGCCACCCCAGGATGCTGGTTCAGTAGGTCAGGGTTGTCCCGTGAACTTGCATCCTAACCAGCTCACAGGTGATGCCTACTGTGTGAGCACCATGCTTTGAGAACCACTGCCTTAAAACATTGAGACCAGGTTGCAGGTGCTGTTGGAAAGGTTGCACAGGCTCTGCCAAGCACAGGTGGGTTTTGAAGACTGGTGTCCATAGAGTATTGTAGGGAAAAGAGTAAAATTGACCCAGTTAGATTCTACCTCTTTCAGCTTTATTTGGCACACAATGGAACCACAATTTTAACTTTCCACATTTACCATTATTTTGTGTGATTTGGGTTTAGAAGGAAAATGCTCATGGTCCAATTTTCTAGGAACCAGAGAGGTTATGTTACTCCTGGATTACTCCAAATACTGGTCATTTTTTAAAGCTGCTTTCTTAAATTATAATTTACATACCATGAAAACCACCTGTGGTAAGAGAACAGTTCAAGAATTTCTAGTAAATTTATATTGTGCAACTGTCACCGTTGTCTAGGGTTAGACCATCATCCCAAAAACTTCCCTTAAAATCTTGTGCTTTTTGTGTGTTGTGAAATATGTTAACAACATGTTCAAGTTTTCCAATGAATAACAGTATTTTTGTTTAATGAAAATATGTTTTCATTATTTTAGACCCAATAAATAGGTCACAGGTCATTTCATTTGTCATTGGTTAGCCTTCATAGAGATGTTTGTGTGCAATTTGCCTAAAGTGGAATAATTCAACCAGTGAGTATCAGAGCATCTACTGTGCCAAGTGTTGCTTTGCCATCTCTTAAAATAATGCTTCATATGTGTACTTCTCCTGGTTTAAAGAGTTCTTCAATAGTTTATTTTAATTTCAACATCCATCATGTGCCAGGAAGTGCAAGAAAGGATGTAAAGATGAATACTACATGGTTCCTGCCTTCAGGGGGCTCACAGCTCTCGGAGATGAGCCGAAAGTATGAGCTAATAAATATAGTATGAGTCTATAATTAAGTCCCTCATTACAAATCTTAGAATGGCAAGGTAAACAAACAGCCTTAAATCTTATCATTTTGGGGGCATGTACTGAGTGGCTTTCTTGCTCCAGAAATTGGCTTCAGCTGAACTCTGTCATTCAAACATGATGTCACATGAGGACCTTATCAGAGACAAAACCTTTTCTGTAGTAAATACTGTGACCAGAGCATCCCAGTGAAAGGATATAGTTTTAACCATTTGGACCCAACAATGAATGATGCATCATCGGATGGTCTGAGTTTCACAATGAGAATCAACAGTGGACTTTGTCCACAAACACCTGCCTATACTGCATTAAGTATATGACGGAGCTCACTGAAGAAACAGTTCCCTGTCTCATTGAAAGGATGGGACTTACACAGGAAGAATTAAAGCAGATGTGCAAAGAAGCCTATGGTAAAGTTCTAAATTAAATGTCATGCCAGGACATCCAGCAGAGACAGTAAATGCTTCAGGGAATGAGGCTTGCTTCCCCCAAAGCAGGATTGCTGAATGCTTCTACATCATTAGAGGCGGGCAGAGCACAAGGGGGCGTTTCAGAATGTTGGCTTAAACAAGATAAATGCCACCATAAGAGCGTGACATCAAGGTAAGGGAGGCTTTCTTTCCCGTCATATATTTGGACTTGATTGCCATTTATCTGTGTTAACTCAACTTCTCAGTTTAAATTCACTGCATAGAAAATAGACTGGATCATATGGGAAGTGGAGAAGGCCTGCCATTTACTAGTTCTGTCGCTGCATTTAATGGCGTTCAGGTTTTTTAGCTTTCCCCATTTGTGACAGAAAAACAAGGCACTTGAGTTTCTGGAACATTACTGATAATCTTTGGTATGACTGTGAAATAATGTCACTTGGTAAGAAAAATAGACATAAAGCTAAAAGCAAAAATACTTTAACTTTAGCAATTTCTTGTTTGCTTTTCAAAATGCAGTCTTTCTCTTAGTTTTCCATACTTTTGAGTTGGGCATGATTCTGTTTATCTACTCTCCTCTAAAACGTAGTCCAGTTATGAGGAACACAGGAGAAGGGTCTTTGCACACCACCATCCTTCTCTTTCCTGGAAGCTGCCGTAGTTGAGAACCATGGGTACACCCCTGCAACTAGGGGGCTGTGTGACTGCTCTTCCCTATATCTAATGACCTCTGGTTTCGAACATTAGGCTGGTCAGAGAGCAATGTCAGTCCCACTTCTCCTCCATGGCCAGCACCAAAGGCAAGCAGTCCAAATGACAGCAGCCCTGCACTGAAAGGTAATGCAGTGTTCTCTCCCCCTTAAATGATAGTTGTCTTTCTTTCCATGGGCCTAACATGCTTTTCTGTATTTCTTTACTAATTTCCATTTGAGCACCTTAGGTTCAATGTATAAGGGTGGAGAGTTTTGCATGATCCCAGAAACTAACATTTTGACTGTTTTTCTGGTTTAATGTCCTAATTCATAATTCCCTTTATCGCATTTAATGAGGAGGAATCACACATCTGTCTCCATGTGACTGGGTGCTCCCCAAGATTGAGTGGCAACAGCAGGGGAGGAAAGACCATTGAGGTTTGCAGTCTTCAGCTGAAAATACCATTGCCTCCACCAGACAAGGCATTTGATTAGTGCTTTTTTTACAAAAAGCCAGGTGTCTTCGTTGTGACTTCGTGTCTTCGAAGACGGTGTCCTCGTCGTTCTTTCCCTTGAAAGAGGGCCTTTCAAGCTGGTGAAATCTGTTCTCTTTTGAGACAGAACATCTGCCTACCTGAAGATCTCGTCTGTTTTTGCAGTTCACTTGCTCTCTGCCTTTGGTCATCACCCACTCTCCCTGTGCTGACCACAGGAAGTTAAAGGAAGTGTCTATTCTGTTATCATCAGAAAGCATTCCCTTGATGTTCTTTGATGTGTTGTGCAATTAGTTGCACCTGGTTTTCCCTTCGACAGTGACAGCGGAGGTCTGGGGAATGTAAGGACTGCCCCAAAGTGCAGTCACCTGAGGCTTCACAGCAGGGCAACACCCATTCTCGGAGTGCAGCAGGGCGCGGGGGTGGGGGGGCGCGGGAGGTGAGCAAATGAGCCTGTAGCATAGTTTCACTGGCACTGTCTCTAAGATGTTTTGATATTCTCTATCAAGAACAGACTAATCCTCCTAAAATGGGCTTGCCCCATACAATTTCCTTGTGTGACCTCCTACGTAACCAAAGAAAGACAAGTTGCTCCCTTTTTTTTTTTTTTGATTATTTCTCCTCCACCCCCACCAAGCTATATTGAGATCTCTGAGGTCTCAGTTTTTCATATCAAAATAAACCAAATGTTTTGGGGGCTAACTGCACATAGTATGCAGTTTATGTTACATAGTAGTAACTTTCATATTACTAACTAGTCTTGCGTGCAATAGCTTATCTCTGTAATAGATGTATTGTCATCTCATAAAGTAATACATCTATAAGAGATTTTGAGGAAGAAAAGACAAAGGGGGGAGAATCAGAAGTATAAAGTGATGAGTACACTCTCTTAATGTTTTTAGTGCCATTTTAGTGGAAAGGTCAAAGGTTCTGTGTATGTGGGTATAATCCGATCAGTACTCTCCTTCACTCTCATATAGCCACTTTTATTTAGCAACTTGTCCTGCCAATATTTTTTGAGACTCTTTTCAACCAGATGGCCAGCACATTCCTAGCTACTCTCAGCTAGAAAGATAACCTGTCAGAGACATTTTCTTCATGCTTTTGATATTCCCACCTGTTGGAGAAAGAAAAAAAGCATGGGTCACCTAAGCCAATGAACCTAGATTCTCATGTGGAATGATTTATAGAAAGAAGAGCCTCCAACTTATTTAGAAATCACTTGTATCAGGTACTTTTTTGAAAATGTTCTCATCTGGAAAGTAATTGGGCTCTAATCGTGCCACTCAGCAAGTTAGGGCAAATAGTTTGGTGAAAAGAACAGCTGAAGGTAGTCCTCCACCGAGGCTGGAGTGTGAGGGGGTGGGGGTGATACAGAGCCCAGTGGGGAAGGGGAGGCACATCCCAGGCCCACTTCCTCTGATGGCAGAGGGTTGAAGAAGGCAGTGACCTTGAGAGAAGAAGGGCAGTCAGGCTCAAGTGCCAACCCCTCCTTCTGGACCTGCTACTTGGAAGGCTGAAAAGAGTGACCACAGTCGTCCTCTTGACCCAGCAGATTTGACAAGAGTCCTCCAGTGGACACTGGAAGGCACCTTGCCTTCTTAGTCATTCAGTCTGAGTTCTGAAATGAGTCTGATACTTCCTGAGGTTGGGAAGCACAGGGTCTGGGATCTCAGGCAGCTCTGTGGGGTTTGGTCATCCACTGGGTGTGGGGGCAGGTGGGGTCAACACGAGGGCTCACTGTTCACTGGGCTTTATCCAACTGAGCGCCTTCCCTTTTCAAGATGAACCTGGACCCACCCACGTGCAGCATGGAGAGGTGGGTGTTTGCAGGGTGGGTGTGCTGATGCCTTCTCTTCTCTCCCCAGAGCCTGCCAAGGCTGCCTCGGACCTGAATGCCTGGTTCAGCCTCTTTGCTGACCTCGACCCGTTATCAAATCCTGACGCTGTTGGGAAAACCGATAAAGAACATGAATTGCTCAATGCATGAGTCTGCGCCTCCAGGAGGGAGCCCACAAGCAGCGACTTCTCCTCCACACACCACAGGGCTAGCAGACATAGGAAGCGATCAGTATGCTGTTTTAATATTTCTGTGCCATTTTAATAAAATGAAAGGGTCCAAGGCCCTGTTTATATTGGTATAATTATTTACTCTTATTTGGTATAAAGGGTTTAATGTGTTTCCTACGTGGACCTGACAGTAAAAGATTGCCTAGGAGCGGTTTCCAGGCCGGCCACACTCCTGCTGAGGTCTGCATGGTGGCTGCGGATGTGTCCGCGGGCTACTGTGAGGCAAGTTCAGATCGTAAACCTACGTTGTGTTAGGTTTGAAAAGGTGTCCTACAGCCTCAGAGGCAGCAGGAGGCTAGTGAAGCTCAAATGCCTCCTCTTGTACCCCCTGCCTCTGTCCTCCCTAGAGGGGGGCTGCAGGGACACTCCCTCTTCCTGCCAAGCCACCTTCCAGCGAGCTCTGGATAAAACTCCCGCCAACCAAAGACACTCCCTCGCCCCCTGCCCGCTGGGCCATGGGCTCTCTTGCGGGCGGAGGGGCTGGACTTGAACTCTCCGCACAAACCTTTCTATGGACAGCAGCCATATCTGCAGATCCCACTGTCTCCTTTAGTCCTCTACATGGCTGGAATTTAAAAGCATGTATTTCTGGAGCTCCTGTGACATTAACTGTTTTTTGGTTTTTTTTTTTAATTAAACGGAAAAGATATTTGACATGCAAAGTCAAGTTAATAAATGAATATGTTGTGGGAACTCAGCGGGGAGGTGCTGTGGGTGTGGGGGCTGGAGAGGGACGGAGGAGAAGGATGGGTCCCACCTGCTTTAAGCTGCCGGCGTGGCCCGTGCACCCCTAAATACGCAGCACGGGGAGGAGGACGTGGACACTTGTTGGAAGCCCGTGTACATGTCTTTCCCTAGGCCGGGTGTCCTGAGTGGGGCTGGGTCCATGACTAGCCAGGCTTTGGTTCTTCATGCTCAGCTGGGCCAGGGAGGTGTCTGCTGCGCTCCTACGGCCTCATTCCCTGGCTCTGAGAGGGTCTCCTGGAGCCGCTTCCCCAAACACACAGAGACACTGAGCGTGCCTCCTCAGCTCCGGGATGCGTGGCCCTAACAGCAGTCACGTCCTCTGTAAGACAGTCTGGGCCCGGTGACCTGGCCTGTGAAAGGCGTTTCCTCCTCTGTGCGGGAAGAGATGCTGGTGAGTTGCGGCTGGAGACTCTGCTCACTTCCTGGCCAGGCCAGCACAGCTGTCCACGGGGTCTCGTTTGGTGGAATCTCACGGAGCCAGATTCCTCAGCCTGGCACTCGTGCTCGTTGAGGCCTCGCCTTGTACCCTCCCCTTCACACACAGGAGGGCTTGCTCATCCCTCGACCCCCTCAGCCTGTGCACTGCTGCCCACTCCACCCGGGATGCCCCCTCCCTTTGCCCTCAGCCCCCATCACGGTTACCCACCCCTCAGGAGCCTCTGCAGACCCCATCTCCTCCACAGGGATTTCTCAAAGTGCAGCCCGTGGTTTTCCTTTGAAGACGTGCCCCTTATCTCTCCCTGACAATTCCCTCCCTGTCCTCCCAGCTCCTCTGAAGGCCTGTGCTGTGTCCATCTGCCTCTGGCCGTGGATGCTGCAACCCCGGAGAATCGAGTCTGTCTTTCCCAGGTAAGCAGCACCCTGGAGTCGCCTTGTAGGCACTGGATTAATGATTGCTGAATGGAGCTGCCCTGGGTGGAATGTGGAAAGCCTCATAGTTTCATCCTGGGTCACATTTGTTTGCAGCCGTGGAAACCCACAGCAGTGCAGTAAGGTGACAAACAGGCTAGAGGCCCAGGGAACTGGGTGGGGAAGAGGGTGGGAGGGCATGGGGTGTGGGCTTGTTCTCTGTTGAATGGATCACTTTAAATACTCACAGGTTGCATTTTAAAGTTGACCTGTGGATGAAGGAGAGAGGATTATGGTCATTGGACAGGCTTTGCTACAAGTTATTTAAAAAAAAAAAAGCATTTTCTCCCTGAATTTTCTTTATATTTTTGTTTAAAAAAAAAGATTCAATTCCCTTCCCCATCTGCAGTCCACTTGGTCAGGCTCTTGATCCCTCTTATAGGCGTGTTTTGATCTGGGCTCACACAAAGCCCCTTCGACCACCTCTCCAGTTTAAGGAGAAGCAGCTGCTGCATGATTCTCTTTTAAGTGGCCTGTGTGCTTCCTCTGGGGCCCACCTGGGGGACGGGCTGTCTCTGGTCTGAAGAAGGCGAAGGTACCCCACCCTCTTCACACCCAGTTTTGCTTCTCCCTCATTTTCATCCCATGTTGCAAGGCCAGACTGACCACAGTGGCACTATACCCTCCTGGGACATTGAGAGAGCACCTGCTTCCTTGAAAACTCACTGCCACTGGAGGTGCAAGTCCCCCTTCTCCCCTCCCTCGGCCCCAGCCAATATAGAAAGAATATTCAAATTTAAGGGAGGAAGCCAGAGACGTTTCTATTTCTTCCTTCCTTCTTTTCCCAGCCAGCACAGGCTTTGGTGCACGTTATAGATTCATTACTTTCAAAATGTAATTTTAGAAACATCAAGTTGATTTTGAGTGCTGGGAGAGTGAGAAAAGCCTCCATCAGCTTCAGAATTAGAAAGGCACCAACATAGAAAGAAGCAGCACTTATTGTCATTGGAGGTTAATGCCCAAGGAAATGTCATCTGCTTGGAGCTGGCCGTCCAGGGAGCCCGGAGTTGCCAGATGGGGCTAGCCTTCCTGCGGTGGCCAGGGCTGACACTGGGTGTGGAGCGGCCTAGCCCTGTGTGTCGAGATGGCACCGCCAGACCTCTCCTGCCCTCTGCCTGGGCTTCGGCGCCAGGGGCTGGCTAATGGAGCTCCAGGCTTTCCTCCCTCAGAGACCCCTCCCCAGGGCTGACCCAGCCAGGGGCTCGGGGCTAACTATTTAGCATTACTTGGGTAATTTTGATTTTGCCAGTATATCAAAGTTGCTTCTGTCCTTGTGATCAACCGGTGTCCTCCAGACAGGCCGTGGTGGTTAATATGCTTCGATTTAAACCATCCCCCAGTCCTGTGACTGGCACCACTCACAGTGTAGTGACGTAGGTCTCTTCAGCTTTGTTGGAAAATAGATTTCAGCTTGGAGTCAACTCCAAATAATTGGCAGTGGCTGCCAAGAATTCTGCATTGAGAGGGATTCTGATAAATGAGTGATGTGTGTGACGGGTACAAGGCAGGGAACAGCGACGACAGTGCTGTATATTTACCAGCACCACATTAGAACTTGCCTTTCGTTTGGCTTTTAGATTTAATGACTTCTTTTTCTCCTTCTCCTTCTTTCTCCTTTCTCTTCCTCCTCCCTTTCCTCTTCTTTTAATAAAAAACAGCTAGGATTTAGCAACACTGACAGAGGGGCATGCATGAATGAGAAAAGCAGAAAGTTCAAAGAACATATCATTGCTGACACCTAATTCAACTCAAACTCAATTAAACAACAGCAAAAAATAGTTGGGGTGGATTTATTTGTTCAGGTAACTAAAAAGTCCAGGTGTAGGTTTTCAGGCATGGCTGGATCTAAGGGCTCGAATGATGTTCTCAACAATTATCCCATCTTCAGCTCCCAGCCCTGATTGCCTGTGTTGCTTCATCCCAACAGACTTATAAGGAAGCCAAAAGGCCACCAGCGTCTCCAGCAAAGTCTCGATTTGATTCTGTCTTGGGTTCTGTGTCAGGAGTGGAAAATGGGCTATTTGCCTAGCTTTTCATGAGCCTATCCCTGGAGCTCAACCCTCAAGGGCTGGGAATGGAGAAAGGATAATTCCTTAAGGAAAACTGGGTGCCATTACTAAAGAAAGTAGGAATGGATCTTGGGCAGGAGAATGCAATAGCAATCCACTCTAGTTTCCACTGGAAAGACTTTGAGGAGACACTGTGTCATGTTTCCAGAGAGGTATGGAGTGAGCTGGCCTAAAGAGTTCAGATGTTTTCCAAACCCCCACCCACCAGGGGGCACTTTTGAGGCCACCCCTGGCACTGGAGCTGGAAGGTTTTGTGCCCTCAGTGGCCCGTGGAGAATCCCTACTTGCAGCTGTCCTATAGCTGACTTCAGAGAAGTCAGAAGGGATCACAGAACTCTTTGCATTCAACTGTTCATATTCAGGTGAGGAGACCAAGGGACCCAAGGGATGTAAAACAAACCTATAAGTTAGTGGGAAACCAGGACTAGAGCCGACGCTGCCTGACTCCTGGGCCAAAGTTTCTTTTACTTCAAGATCTTTGCTGGAAACTTAGAGCTGAGGTTTTAGATCAATTATGAAATAAACCCCTTGGAGACAGAATCTAGGACAGTAATATAGGGCAGTCGTTAGAGTTTGGGTTCTGAAGCTGGACAAATCTGTGGTCAGACTGAGGCTTCACCAGCTCTAAGTCAGGAACCCTCTCTGAGCTTCTGTTTTCTCACCCATATATAGGGACAGTAGCATTCCCTGCCTCTGTGGAGTTATTACAAGGACTGAGTTGATGCCCCAAGACTTAGCATGGGGCTCCCACCCAGCAGCACACAAGTATGGCCACTAGTGTCACAGAAAGTCAGTTGTCTGGTAAACACTGTTAAAGTGGGAATGGGAGGCTGCTCCCTCCCTACGACCTTCTATAAGGGTCTCCACACTCCATCTTGTCTCCCCATTGTTAACTCATTCCTAAACATAATGAGGATGATGGAAGATAGGAGGGGACTAGAAAGTCTAATGAATATGTTGCCCCTAGTTTTTCCATAAACCTGGACAAAACTCTGTGCTAAGACTAGGAGAGATGAAGTGGGTTCTCTGCCAGACAAAGGGGACACACTGCAAAACTTACCAATTTTTTTTTAATTGAAGTATAGTCAGTTACAATGTTTCAGTTTCTGGTGTACAGCATAATGTCCTAGTCATGTATGTGTGTATATATTATTTTCATATTTCACATATTCATTTTCATATTCTTTTTCATTAAAGGTTATTACAAGATATTGAATTCCCTGTGTTATACAGAAGAAATTTGTTTTAGCTATTTTTATTATAGTGGTTATCATTTGAAAGTCTCAAACTCCCAAATTTATCCCTTCCCACCCTCTTTCCCCTAGTAACCATAAGATTGTTTACTGTGT